TTCCCGGTTCTGTATTTTATTTATAAATGCATTTTTAATAATATATGGTTAATAAGATTCTATTTTAAGCTTACAAACAAATAAATTTTAGTTTTTAATATAGTACAGAAAAAAGTAATCTAAATTTACAAACTCATGTACATACAGTACATACTGTAAATGTACATGTTTACAATTTGGCAATGTTTACATTACATTGCAAACTCTTTATTTGTGAATGTGGTTTGCTCTAAGACATTATAAAATAAGATGATTTTGTAAGGTTAAATATCAAATACAGTTGTTAAAATTATCTTGCGACAGTAGAAAATAAACTAATTTATTAAGTAAGTAAATGTCTCTTCAATTCAAAAAAAAGAATCCTTCGGTAGACTACCTCACAGCTATTTAGGTTATAAAACTCTTTTATCATTTTTCCACAGATGCATTTCAGGCTAGTTTAATTCTCTAGCCCTCTTCAGTGCTAAAAAATAAAATTCAGTATTGAATTAACATAAAACAGTGCAAGTAGATAATGTTTACAAAAAACAGTAAAAACACATTTCACAATACCCTAAGGATCTCCACAGGTTTCACTGGCTTATTTTTCACACCTATACGGTACTTCTAGTTTCCATTTACAATATTTTCATAATCTTAAAAAATTACTTTAAGGGCGTATATCATATTACATCGAAATAATTTTAACCATGTTAAANTATATATATATACATACAGATTTTCTTTCAATTAAAAGTATACCATTTTAAAAAACATCAGTATATGTTGTATAATCTTTGAATGGTTCTTCATAGAATATGATTTTTCATAAGCGACAATGCATAATTCTTACGATATAATTTACTGACTTGTCCTTGCGCCCTCTATCATGTTGTACTGTACCATTGCTGGTCAATTTGCATGCCATTTGACATATTTATTAAATTATTATTATTATATTTTACTATCTCGATATGTTCTTTCAATTAAAAGTATACCATTTTAAAAAACCTCAGTATATGTTGTATAATCTTTGAATGGTTCTTCATACAATATGATTTTTCATACGCGACAATGCATAATTCTTATAATATAATTTACTGACTTGTCATTGCGCCCTCTATCATGTTGTACCATTGCTGGTCAATTTGCATGCCATTTGACATATTTATTAAATTATTATTATTATATTTTACTATCTCGATATGTTCTTTGAATTTACATTTATAAATATTTTTCTCATAGTGTAGGATTTTAATATTATTTCTATCTATTTGACAGTTACTATTTTTGATTGGTTAAACCAAGGAGAATTATTTTTTAACCTTATGGCAGCTTCATGCTCTTTAATGCTTAATTCTAAAGTCCGACCCATTTCTCCTATATAATTTCTTGGATTTTGACGGTTACAATTTTATAAACTATTCCAGTTTCTTTCAATTTATCAACTTTGGTTTT